AATAGATTTGTACATTGCTAGAATTTTCTCTCAAAAGCCACACATTTTCATGCCTATCTTTCGTGAAAACTTCGGTATGCTGTGATGAGCAAAGTGTTTATGACTTTCAGCTATATGGCATTCACATATTAAAAAAAAACTTGAGGGTCTCAGTCTATGACTTGAAATGCCTAAATCATCTGACTAACTGAACAAGGCAAATTAAAATGTTTTTGGTTTTGTTTTCTTTATCATAGATACTTCCTAAGACATTTCTGTCTGTTTGCTACTTCCGATGACAGAAATAATGTATGTCCCTAATGAAAAATTCAAACAATTCCGAAATGTGCAAAGCAGAATGTGAAAATCTCTTGTAACCCCAATCCAGTGAACAGATTAAATCTTTCCAGACATTTTATATGCATAAACAATACTCTAAAAAGATGGCATCATGCTAGATGCACAGTTTTGCCTCACACCACTACACTTAGAAATTTTTGCATTAGTCTGAGTTCCTTCAAGTTGCAAGGTTCAGAAAACCCATTTAAACAGACTTATACAGCAAACATACTTTATTGACAAAGTCCAGGACCTGGCTGGCAAGAGGAACTTAGATAAGCTTAGATAATAAGTTGTCGGCTCTTGGGTTTGCTCTTTCTTGTTTGTTCTGCCCTTTCATCTCTTACTCCCATTATCCAAAAGACTCTTGCTTCATGATGCCAATAGGCTGATACAACTTCTCCTAGCAACCCTAGTGGAAAGGAGAGATTCTAGCTTCTTACCAGTTTCACAAGAGTCTTGGAATTGAGTCTCACTGGCACTGATTGAGTCACATGTTCATCCCTGAGTCTGTGACTGTGACCAGGAGGATGTGGTGTTGATCAGTGGGGTCAAGCCTGGGGCGCTTTCCATCCACAGAGACAGAGGGAGAATTAGTAATGGCCCGCCATCTGAACCACAAAGACTGGTAGTAGAGGGATGCTTAGTTCCCCAATAGAAAGCAGGATGTTATTGACCGAGGGGAAATGAATGCTGAGTAAGAAAAGACATTCCACGTCCTGGCAGCCCAGCCTCCAAATACAGGCTACTTTATTTCCAGGCACTGTTTTTTGTATGTCTTTTTGTTTTGTTTTGTTTTGTTTTTACTTTGTATTTTGAATGCTAGATTTTCAGAAAAGTTGCAAAGATAGTACCCAGAGTTCCCATATAGCCTCCACACAACTTTCCCTGGTGTTAACATCTTACATAACCACAGTACATTTGTCAAAACTAAGAAGACTAAACTAAAACTAAACTACAGACTTTATTTGGATTTCATCAATCTTTCCATTAATGATTTTTTTCTGTTCTAGGATCCAATCCAGGATTCCACATTGCATTCAGCATACACGCACTTTTTAAACTAGGCACACCTGATAAAATGTAACTAATGTGTATGACAAACACACCTCCTTATAGAGATAACTCAAGATCCCATTATTCATTCATACTGAAGTTCAAAAAAAGCTCTGGATGATTTGTGCTTCTCTTTTCAGGTCTAAATATAGTACAACTCCTATGGTAAACTATGGCTAAATTACACAATTAACCAATTGCCCCATACTCAATATGCGGTGGTAGAAAGAAAACAGGGTAATTACAATTGAAAGGAGGAAGACAACAATGAGGAGGAGATAGAGGAGGAGCAGAAGGAAGGAAGGAAGAAGGGAAGAGAGAGAGAGAAAGAGAAAAAAAAGAGAAACTCCCATTAGGATGGGAGAGAAATGAAAACATACAGAGGTCACCATTTATGTATAACACCCTAATTGTGAAGAATAGCAAAGACCCCCTATCTTAGCAGTAAAGTGGAGTTGTTTTTTTTTTTTAAGGTATGCTTTTTGGTGAGGAAGATTGGCCCTGAGCTAACATCTGTTGCCAGTCTTCCTCTTTTTTTTGCTTTCCTCCCCAAAGTCCCAGTACGTAGTTGTATATCCTAGTTTTAAGTCATTCTAGTTCTTCTGTGTGAGATGCCACCACAGCATGGCTTAATGAGCGGTGTGTCGGTCTGTACCCAGGATCTGAATTGGCGAACCCCAGGCCACCAAAGCAGAGCACACGAACTTAACCACTTTGCCATGGGGCCGGCCCCCTAAAGTGGGTTTTTTGATCAGCGTGGTTCTCCTCTCTGAATCTCCTTTGTCATTACTATATGACCATATCTGAGATGAGCTTTCAGGAGGCTTTTTCCTTCAGGTGACTGCCTCTCCTTAGCAACCTACTTCTTGTTCTTGTGAAGTGTTCTGCCTTTCTTGGACTGATTCACTTGACTTTGTTCCTTTTTATTCTCTTACTTGATACACTGTTATAATTTTACTTCCAGTAAAGGGTTTCCCTTCTAGTGCCTCCCTTTATATTATATATACTAAAGGGATATATTTATAATATATATGATATATAATTTTGTTATATATTTTTATATTATTTATAAAATCAGGATTTGTTCATTAAATATTGAGTTTATATGATGTGCCAGACACAGTTCTAGATGCTGGGAGTAGAGAACAAAACGAAACAAAAAAAACTCTGGCCCCCTTTGAACTTATATGGAAAGAAATGATAACGCAGGCGCGGGAGGAGAGCTGGAGGGAAGTGCTTTGTTTGGCAAGAAAGGATTCTCTAGGAGTACGGATAGTTTATCTGTAGTAACAGGAAAGAAGCTAATGAAATGGAGATGGTTAGTGAAGAGTGGAGGTGATGTGGTAGGAACTTTCGAATTTTTCTTATTTATTTCTAAATCTATGACATATGGAACAAAGTCATCAACTGAAAGTGAGCATGGGGGCGTATCATGGGCTGAATTGTGGTCCCCTCAAAATTCCTATGTTGAAGTTCTAACCCCCAGTGCCTCAGAAGGTACATATATTTGGAGATAAGGTTTTTAAAGAGCAATTAAGTTAGAATGAGGCCATTAGTGTGGGCCTAATCCAATATGACCAATGTCCTTATAAGAAGAGGAAATTTGGACACACAACCATGAGACATGCACGCATACAGAGGAAAGACCATGTGAGGACACAGCAGGAAGGCGGCATTGGCAGCGCTAGCAACTAATACAGGAAGGAAGTACTGGAGGTTTGAGTAGAGAGGAGAAAAGTATTAAATGATCGTGTGGAAGAATGAGAGAATGAAAAGGACTCGAGAATTATGCTATACTTCATCAAATCTAAGATGCCATTGATTGTAAGACACACCATTATTTTAGGTACCACTAAAAAAGGAAAAGCCCTGACAATTAAAGTATGAGATGCCATAGTGGCATATCTAAGACACATCCTCATTTCAGAGATATTAAGTGTGAAAATGTGTATGTTTTAGAATTGATGAAATATGGTAAGTATAATTGTTGGGTAGCCTTAAGGGCCCACCTGAGATTTGTGATCATGAAGTAAGGTGAAACTAGTTGGCATGATTGAGTATTTTTCCAGCAATGTTCAGCTGCATGAATGCAGACATAGGATTTAAATAGTATTTTAGGAGTTAGGGTCTAAACAGAATTTTGTTTTTTTCAAGTGAATTCAGGAAAGCAAGAGGGTTACAAGGCAGTTGAAGGTGTGTATAAATTAATGAGAGAGTGATTATAACGAAAAAGACAGGAGTCAGAGTACTAGAGGGAGTGAGCTGCAAATTTAGGAGCAGTTTTTCAAAGAGTAGTATAAGTAGTATGCTTGAAATTGAGATTTGTGGGAGGACTATGTTATTGGTGTTGATAAAGTCCTGAGTATGACAAGAGCTGAGATGAGGTAGAGGATAAGGTCACTGGAGTGGTCAAGAAACAAAGAAGCCAAGACTTGAACGGTCATCCACATGGATGGTGAAATCAAGATAGAAATAGGAGAGAGTGACGGTAAGCCAGGAATCAAAATCTTCAAAGAATGGGTAGTGGGTAGAGTGTGGTGGGGAGGGTGGAAGGGGAAGAATAACTCAGACATCAGTAAATACCTGTAACAGGGAGGAGTGAGTGATGTAGTCTGATGACATGAGAGTCAAAGCTTTGTAGTTTTAAGGAGGCAACAAGAATGATCTGAAAGTGAAAGTGAGGATCAGGAAGGACACCTAACTAGACTTGAGGCCCAGTGGTACAAGGGAGAGAAAATGGCCATCACTTCAGAAGGCTGCAGGGTGATCAGCGTCCTCAGGGAAGAGCCAGGTTTCAGTCAAAGCAAGAAGGCCAAGGGAAAAGAACAATACCTTAACACACTGAGTATAGTATTCTGAGGTCAAAATTATTTCCCCTAGACGTTGCAGAAACTTTTAGCATCCAGTGTTAATGGTGAGGGGTCTGATGCCAGTCTGACTCTCTTTCTTTTGTAGACAATCTATTTTTTATTCCCCTAATATAAATAAATCTCAAGTTCTAATAAAATGTAAAATTCTGAGATATTACTTTGCTGTCTTTCAAGTGTGAATTTGTTATCATATGTTTTGCTTGCATTCCATGGTCTTCTTCAATGGGAAGACTGATGTCTCTTTCAACTCTGGGAAATTTTCTTCTAATATTTCTTTGTTTATTTGTTGCTCTCCATTCTCTCTGTTCTCTCCTTTTGGAACTATCACATGAATAGTGGGATATCTAGATCTATCCTCCATTTCTCAATTTTCCTTTTATACTTTCCTTCATTTAAATTTTTAGTGGTAAATTTTAGGGAGGATCATCCCCAGCATCTCTCAGCTTGATATTCAGGCTCACTAATTTGATCTTCAGCCATGGATATTCTATTTTACGGTCCATCTACTTTTTTGTTTGTGTGCAATCATGTTTTTAACATCCAAGAACTCTGATTCTGATTTTTGTCAGTCTTATTTTTTTTTTTAAGTGAATGCTTAATAATAATTATAGGTGACACTCCAACATTCCTTCAACCCTGGTCCAAGTCAGTCACAGTAATTCCATTCCTCTTTTCGCTGATTGACTTGGCAACATGTATGTAGCTCAATTCTGGCGAATGGGATGTAATTCTTAGAGATGATCCTTCTTGCTCTAGAGAGTTTTGTTTGGCTGTGATACCTGGAAGAGCCACAACAGTCTTGCTGTGCTGAAGATGAAACCAACGCACAGAGAAGGACACCACCAAGACAACTACAAAGAAGTAAATCTGGAGTCCTGATGGACCATGTCTGAAGCCTAACCTTTTCTGGATTTATGTGAGAAAATAAATTTCCTTATTGCTTTGCAACTTTGAACTGGATTTCTGTCACTTGTAGCCAAAACATGCTGACTTGATACAGAACGTGGTTAACGGAAGTGGGTACTTCAAGTAGCAAATCCTAAAGTGTGGAATTGGCAAGGTGAAGGAGTAGAGAATTGGGCAACTTGATTCCCACTATTCTAGGTTCAGATGACCCTTGCATTTGGCTAAATTGTTATCTATTCATTGGGACACTAAAGGTGTACCTACAGAAATGTATTAAGGAAAACAGTGGAAAACAAATTCAGGATGTTGGAATATGTTGGCAATTTCTTGTGGCCCACAAGAAAGAGCTACATCCGGTTTAAGGTGGCCCAGCTGAATGTGGAGTTCTTTCTAGCTATGGCCTGCAGTCCAAGTCGAGGCCTTGAGGTTTGAAAAGCTGCATTCTCTGCCCCAGGAAGTGGAAGATATAGCGGGAGATAAGATTGAGGAAAAAAAGATAAACTTTGTTACGCCTTTCTCAGAACTACAGAATTATGAATCATTCCTTCCTCCCCAAGACTGTTGATTCAAATTGCCTCAAGGCCAGATATCCTAAATACGAGGTCAGAGGGATGAATAGGTTACAAAAATAAAATATGGAATGAAAGGTGTCTTATTGTGTCGTCACAGTCTCATCAGAAATACACCAAAAAAGACAAAAGCGGTGATTTAATCGGTATCCTTTAAACAATTAACACAGTTGCAATTATAATCAGAAGTTTGTTAACTATAAATTTAGTAAATTTACTTTCGTAGCTTTCATAATCATTAGAGGTCAAGTACCGAAAAAACATTTCCCCCCGTTATGGAGTCTCCCCCACCCCCAGTGCAACTGGATTCTCTGTGAGAAGTTTTTGCCGCGCCCATTATACTGGCATAAGGATTGTCTGTCTGTGGTAGCCTGAGCTTGGAATTTCTCTGCAGTTTTTCACTGTGCAGTAGTTTCATCCTATGTTTTCAGTTGTTTCCTATTCTAGTTTCTCCAACTTTATTTGCGTTCTATCTTCCGATAATTTTGACAAATCTCTAGACACAGAGGCCTGTGTCCCAATGCTGTTATTGAATTGTCATAAATACATACACACATTTTGGGGGAGAGTGTGCTCATATGCCTCTCTCTCCTTACACCAATTTCTCAAAGAAAATTTTCATGTGGGCCTTAAAATAAGTGGTTGTGTGTGGACTCTGGAGCCAGACTGACTGTTTTGGACTGAATGATTGTGTCTACCCTCAAATTCATATACTGAAGCCCTAACCGGCAGTGTAGCTATGTGCGGAGTCAGGAAGAAATTAAGGTTAAATGAGGTCACTAGAGTGGGGCCCTCGTCCAATAGCAATAGTGTCCTTATAAGAAAAGACCCCAGAGAACTCTCTCTCTGTGTTCACTCCAAGGAAAGGCCATGTGAGGACACAGCCAGAAGGTGGCCATCTGCGAGCCAGAAGAGAGCCCTCACCAGAAACCAAACCCCACTGGACTTTTATCTGAGACTTCCAGCCTCCAGAACTGTGAGAAATACATTTCCGTTTCAGTTTAAGCCACCCAACCTGTGGCATTTTGTGATGGCTATGTTTAAATCCCAACCCTGACTACGTGACCGTGAGCGACTTGTTCAATGTCTCTTTACCAGTATCCTCTTCTGTAAAATGTGGTTATGAATAGCATCTGCCTCACATGGGTTATGAGGATTGAAGAAGTTAGTGTTTATAAAGGGCTTAGCACGTTGCCTAACCCACAGTAAACGCCAAAGTTTTGATTAAAGAATCATCCATGGCAAATGAGGTAATAATTTTATGAGTGTTTCCTATAGTGTCCTTTGATGAAAAGCTGAAAGCTGGCCCCGTGGCCGAGTGGTTGAGTTTGCGCGCTCCGCAGCCGGCGGCCTAGTGTTTTGTTGGTTCGAATCCTGGGCGCGGACATGGCACTGCTCATCAAACCACGCTGAGGCAGCATCCCACATGCCACAACTAGAAGGACCCACAACGAAGAATATACAACTATGTACTGGGGGGCTTTGGGGAGAAAAAGGAAAAAAATAAAATCTTAAAAAAAAAAAAGCTGAGAGCATAACAGTATAATATTAGTTAAAGCAATTCTACAAACTATCCAGATATTGGTGGAATTATTCAAATGTTCTGAAGGTCTAGGTTGATCTGAGGATACTACTTAGAATAACTAGAAGAAAAGATAAACTTGTTCCTAAATTTAATAAAGTAGTATTAGTGCTTCTGTGTTTTGTTCAAAGTCATTAAAAAATCTCCTATTTTTTTCCTATAAGCTTTGCTTTTTGACATTTCGCATTTAGGCCTATGACCTACCTCAAATTCTCTCGATAGCTAGCTCAAGCTTCATTTTTCCCCCCACATAGATAGCAATTACTCCAGCAACATTTTTTGAGAAGGCTGTTTTATCTCCGAGTCACATGCAGGTGAAGGTGTCTGTGGGGGTCTATTCTAGGCTTGTGTTGGTTCGAAACCTTGGGAGCTTCCCAGGTGAAATCTGAAACTGGCCCCCATACACGGAGGGCAAGGAGAGACGGAAGGAAGAGGCAGGCCACTCCAGAGTGGTACATGGCAGTTGTAACAGCATGGGAACTTACATCAAGGCTTGTCTTAGACAGCCACAAGACGCATAGATTTTCATACCCACCCGCCAGAATCTTAAAAGTTTACATAGAGCCTTAATTGCGTTCACTCACGTCTACAGACTGGATGATCTCAACAACACAGTACTCTCAAGGCTGTGTCCTTGAAATGGCTCCCACTGTGGGAACGGTGGGCAGAAGTACCTTCCCAGGACAGGGGAGGAGGTGGAGCCTCCAGTTGCTCAGGTCCATCTCGTGGGTCAACCAGCAGCCACATCCTCTTGATGAGCTCCTCCAACAGCTTGTATTCTATTCAGTTGATCTGTGTTTATCTTTGTGCCCATACCACACTCTCTTAATAGCTGTTACTTTACATTAAGCATTAAAATGTAGCAGAATGAGTTCCTCAACTTTGTTCTTCCAGGTTACCTTGGCTATACTAGCTCCTTTGCATTTGTGCATAAATTTTAATGTCAACATGTCAGTTTTCATGCACACATATGTACACACACACACACAAACCTGCTGGTTTTCTGATTGGGATTGCATTGAATCTATAGCTAGCCCAATATGAGTAGAATTGACATAATAATGAGGCTTCCAATCCATGAGCTTAATATATTTATCTATCAACTAGTGCGCTCTCTCCTCCCTCTCTCTCTCTCTCTCATTTTAGGTCTTCTTTGACTTCTCTCAGCAATGTTTTGTAGTTTTTATTACAAAAGTACATCTTTTGTAGGATTTATCCCTAAGTATCTGATTTTTTAATGCTAATGTAAGTGACATTTAGTACGTTTCATTTTCCAACTGTGCTAGTCTATATAAATACAATTGATTTTTGTATATAGATCTTTCATTGTTTCCTTGCTAAATTACCTTGTTTATAGATCCTTTTGTATTTTCTATGTACACAATCATGCCATCTGCGAATAAAGACAGATTTATTTCTTCCTTTCCAATCTTTACATATTTAGTAAAATATTGACAAGCAGCAGTGATAGTAAACCTCCTTGTCTTGTCTGGACCTGAAGGAGAAGGTTTTCAACCTTTCCCCATTAGGTATGTTAGCGGTAGGGTTTATACAGATAGCCTAATCAAATTAAGGACATTTTCTTCTATTTCTAGTCTGCTGAGAGTTGTGATCATAAATGGATGTTTAATCTTATACTTTCTGCATTTATTGAGATGATGTTATGGTTTTTCTCCTCTGTTAGGTGAATGTGGTAAATTACATTGATTTCTGAATGTTGACCCAACCTTGCATTCCTGGAGTAAACCCCACTTTGTCATGACATATCATCTTTTTTTGTTTTAATCTCTGGACTTTCTAATGTGTTGTTAAGAACGTTCAATAAGAGATACTGACTTGTAATTTTCTTGTCATGTCAAGTCCATGTCAAGTTTTGATATCAGGGAAATGCTGAACTCATACAATGAGTTGGAACATATTCCTTCTTTCTCTAATCTCTGAGTTTGTGTAAAATTATTACTTTTTTCCATAAGTGTTTGGACGCTTTCATTAGTGAAACATTCTGAGCCTGCAGTTCTATTTGTTTTGTTTTTTGCGGAAAAAAGTTTTAATTATAGATTCCTTTCATAGATGTAGGACTTTTGGATTTCTTCTTCTGTCAGTCATAATTTGTGTCTATGTCACCTAACATCAAATTTATTGGAAGAAAATTGTCAATAAGAGTATATACTATCTGGTTCCCTTAATATAAAGCTTAAGAAAAGGCAAAACGAATTAAAGATGTTAGAAGTTAGAATATTAGTTCCTTCCAGGGGTACTGATTGGGAAAGTGCATGGCCTTATGGAGTGATAGAGATGTTCTCTATCTTGATCTGGCTCGTGGTTACATGGGTGTAAACATATATAAAAATTCATTAAGTGCACTTAATATTACTTTAATGTATACATGTTATACTTACATAAAATTTTAAAAATGAAATTAAAAATGAAGCTTAACATGTGATTCTGATGCCCACCCAAGGCTGAAACTTTTGTGTTCAAGTATGGCCTGAGAGAGCCAATCTGCACACTTGATGGAGCCCTAAATTTTCAAAGTGAATGATTCCAATGCTAGACGACTTAGACCATTTCCTTCTAGAAAACATAGAATTAGCTTATTCTTATCTCTTCCAATGGAGACAAAGAAATAAATCCTGTCTCTGAATTGAAGATAATAAATTCTAGTGTTTAAAAGAATAAGAATTAATGGACTACATATACTTCAGACAGTTCTCCATTAATCACTTTTTCAGATGTTTAAGATGGAACTAGACAGAAGATAGTTCAAATTTTTATAGTCTGTGGAAAGCCTCAAGAGTGAATATCATTTGTTGACTGAAACCAATACCTTCCAACTTAAATTTATCACAAGCATGTTTTTAATTAAAAATTCTTAAAAAGCATCAATGAAGAAGCAAAGTTTCCCCTTCAGCACCCCCACCCAACCTCTCTCTCAATAACAAAGCAAATATCCATGAAGCACTTATCATACTCCAGGCACTGTTAAGTTACTGAAGCCTTAAAACTTTCAGTATTGCACCCATTTCATAAACGTAAAAACTGAGAATCAGAGTTTCAATAACTAGTCTAAGGCTATAAAGATTAATAATAGTAAAGCCAGGAATTGGTCCTGGCTTATAAGCCTCCTTTTAAAACCACTATGCTCTATAACCCACAAGCAGTTGGAGTTTTCAAATTCTTTTTCTATACACTATATATAGATGTACTTCTTTAATCAAACGGAGTCATACTATACTTCTATCCATAATGGTATTTAACTATTCTCCTACAGATAAGTATTTAGGATATTTACACTTATTTTATAAATAATGATATACAAGCTACATGGGTCATTTCTGAGTAGAAGTCTCCCAGAAGTGGAATTGACAGGTCAAAGTACATTTTCCCTCCCATAGTATTTTTAATTTTTGTCATTCAGACCCATGAAAACGTGTATTTTCAACATTTGCCTCTTCTTGACTTTTTTACTTGTGTGTAACCAATTGTCCCAGGAATCTTACTATCTGGGAGAGCAAGTCCAAATTTTTTTTTTTCAAAATTATGTTAGCTATTTTTGGCCCTTTGTTCTTCTATATAAAAGTTTCTAGCAACTTGTTCAATCTATTACTGCTAATATTTTTTGTAGATTCTTTTGTGTATTCTACGTAGACAGTCATATATAATCTGCCATTCTTTCTTGCTTTCCAAAGCTTATTTTTTTACTTCTCTTCCTCTCTCCCTCCCCCACTTTCTTAACTAACAAAGACCCGCCACAAAATGTTGAATACCAAATAGTAACTAATAATGAGCATCCATGTCCATCCAGATCTTAAAATGAACGTGTCCAGCATTCTACTCCAAGTATATTTGTGGCATTAAGTTTTGAAAATGATTACAATAGTTATATAACAGAACTGAAACATCATTATTTTTAAAATGGGTCTAAAATCATGAATTTTTCTACCAAAAAAGGGGAGAAAGTAGAGGGTTAGGATAAAGGGAACGTGCAAATTTCATTTTGTATAGGAGACAGTCCAGGCAACTCTTTCATTCCTGAAGTTATTATTCAAGAAATAGCTTTAAATATATCTTTGAAATATTTAAAGCCTAACAGAAAACAGTCTGTATACATTACGGATCAACAAAAGGTCCCCAACTACAAATTTTTAAAGAGAAAAAATCAATTTAGCAGAAGATTATAAACAAAGCCAGCAAGGTCGCATTAAAAAAAAAAAAGGGCAAGCAGAGAGTATAAAATAAACTGATAGAGAGGCCCAAGTAATTGTGGTAATATTAAAATTGGACCTAGTAGAATTCAAAATGTTAAAAAAGAAACTTGAATAAATGAACAAAGATTAAGTAGTTATGAACCTGTATGTGCTGAACATAGCACTGAATACACAAAGCAAAAAGGATTGGATATATGAAGAAAAACACATAATAGCAATATAAGAATTTATTTTACATTTCTCACTCCTTGAGATATAAGTAAAGATATAAAGAATCTCACCAGTGCTTAACTAATAATATTGATTTAATGGTTACATGACAAATTGTACCGAAGGACATACCCATCCTAGCAACCAGGAAATACTTAGAAAATTTGTTTGCTTAGCAGGCTAAAAAGAATCCTTAATAGGTTTCCAAAAGCAGACTAGAGACACTGACTCTATGTAGTAGAAACT